TATAGGAATAAAATTGTTCATTGGACCAATTTTAATGAATTTTTTATTAATACCAATGAATACTTTTATTGTATTTACGTACATTTTTGGTTCAGTGTACGAGTTACAGCAGGTTCTTGAATACTAATAATTACATTTTAATATAACAATTTATTTAAAATACAAAATTACATACGTTTCTTCATCAGGTCATCCTCAGTGTAAAATAAACAACAATTTAACTAATTAAAAATAAAAAAGGTCGCAATATTATAAGACGGTTAATATATAAAACATCGTTAAATTCGTAAACATACTATTATAATAAAGATTTTCAAGGTCATTCGAATTAAAAAGTTGGTAAAGAAATTGATTCTCTTTTCTAATAGCGCGATTAAAAATATATATGTATAAAAGATCGCAATATTATAAATCAGTTAACATAAAAGTATCTAATCGTTAGGGAATCTTCTAAATTTTTTACTTTGACTCCTTTCCCGCGTTATTCTGTATTACTTCTGATTTACAATAGTAATCCTTAAGCTGTAATAAGAAACTGACCAATCGCAGTTGAATTTCTGAGGAAAATAATCGACTATACATAATTGGTCAATTTCTTACATTAAATTAGTACCACTAATGGATAGCCAGATGTGAAATAATTATTTGTGTACTGTTTTGATTAATTTTATTAACCTGCATACATTTTTATATACGTCTGGAATTTCAAGCGAAATGTTCCGACCAGTGTTTCGCCTGTAAGTTTTAGTTTTGAAATTTTTGATACGGCAACCTTACTTAACATAATTTGACTTTTTTCTTCTTCATTTTTGGAACAAAAATAGTCCCAGATGGGGGATGTGAAAAGAGCTGTTAAGGACGCAATAGAACTAGGGTATCGTCATATTGATACAGCTTTCTTATATGGTAATGAGAAAGAGATTGGGGAAGCTATTCGCGACAAAATCAAAGATGGTAGCGTGACCAGAGAGGATCTATTTATTACCACAAAGGTGAGATCAATGCGTAAGCGTGAGCAAAATACGAATATTTATTTTAAACAATATATTTATATTTTTTGACCATTTATTTGAGAAACTCAATTAATACTAGAAATTTAACTGCCTATTACGATCGGAGCTGGATCTTCGTTGCTTTTTAATAATTCAATCTTGAATTACTAATATATACTATATATGTACTTGCATATATACCATATTGTAGTCTTTTTCTAACTGCGCGCCGAATTGTTTTTCCGGACTAAATAAACGTAATTAAAACTACTCTACTAATCGCGAATTAAATTGACAAGCAATTTAATAATTTGATGCTACCATCAAGCATCATATATTATAAAGATGATAATATATAAAAACTGTTAAAAATATGGTATATATGCAAGTACATATATAGTATATATTAGTAATTCAAGATTGAATTATTAAAAAGCAACGAAGATCCAGCTCCGACCGTAATAGGCAGTTAAATTTCTAATATTTATTTTGTCACCTGCTAAATTCCAAATAATTAATTTTTTATAAGGGACACAATAAATATCAAAATTTAAATTAATATTTCATTTTGTAAATTTAATTGTATTTATTTCGTTGCAGTTGTGGAACAATTTCCATAAAGAAGAGCATGTCGTCCCAGCCTGCAAACAATCGTTGGCCAATCTTGATTTAGATTATATGGATCTTTTTTTAGTTCACTGGCCATTTGCTTTCAAGGTAAGTATTGACATCAATGATGTAAAATAGGATGAAATAGAGAAAGATTTTTGTTTCTTTTTTTTATTATATAAGCATATTCGGAATTTGCACGATAATGAGTTGATTTCCAGATATATATGTTTAACTATACAGCATTACCTAATAATTAAGATTTTGTTGTAAACATTGAAGTTAAAAAAATGCATCAGTAATTCTGTTAATCTATGTAAAGTGGAATATGCAATTATATAAATAATATTCATAGTTTCTTATTAATATTAAGAGTGACTAGTAATGGTAAATTCTTATTTACGAAAAAACAGTCATAAATGTTTAACAAATGAATGTTTCAACTCATAATATTTATTTAGAGATATCTTGCAGGAAGGGGATGATTCGTGGCCTTTAGATGCTGCTGGAAATCTTTGCGAATCGGATGTCGATTATTTAGAAACATGGAGAGGAATGGAAGAGTGTGTACATCAAGGCTTAACTCGCAGCATCGGAATCAATAACTTTAACTCCGAGCAAATTACCCGTTTACTCAAATCGGCTAAAATCGCCCCAGTCAATAATCAGGTATGTGGTATCATCTAAATCGTTTCATAAATTTAATTGTATTTGTTTCATAATTATTGCATTTTTTCTGTTAGATTTGTATTTTTGAGCGAATTAATTTATATCTTTTTAATAAATATTTTTTCTTTATGTATATTTGCAAACCTCTTTTAAAAAGATAAAAGGTCTTATATTAACGTAATTTATATCGTATTAAAGCTGCAAGACTTACTAATTAAAAAAATATTTTATTGTAGATTGAAGTTAATATAAATGTAAATCAAGAGAAATTAATTGATTTTTGCAAGAAACATGACATAACGATAACTGCCTATTCTCCTCTGGGACAACCCGGAAATGTATCGGGCATCGACAATAAATTAGATAATCCTATAATATTGCAACTTGCAAAAAAATACAATAAGACGCCGGCGCAAATAGCACTTCGATACGTGGTAAGAAAAAAATTTAAGATTGATAGAACTATTCTTGAGGCTTTCACGGG